TTGCGCGCGCATGGGTTTTTGCAACCCCATACAAAACCCTAATGCCGCCCTTAGTCATGTTACAAGAGGCGGGGGTTTGGAACGGCATCCAATAATTAAACGCGGAGTCTCAGTGCTTCCTTTGGCTTTGGTGGAATCCAGGACATGCAGCTCCATTTTGGGTAGCAACAAACAAGTACAAGCACAAGTAGGTGACGTAATATGAAGGAATGCTTTAGCGCTTCTGAGCTTCTGAGCCAGGAGACCAAAAGCAGGCAGAAAACTCCAGCCCTTACTTGCCACGCAAGTCACTCGAATTTACGGGCGACTTGCAATTCATGCTGGCAACATTACGCACGGGTGCATGTTTGGATGCAGCTCCTTTTCACAGCGTGAAAGAGTCAGGCATGTGCTCATGTCAGAAAGCTGATCAATTTTGCGCAAGGACACCATGCGTGCCCTTGGCACGGCAGCTCACGGCCCCCCCCTCCTGGACACGCCTTGTGTGGAGTTTCCTGTTGTAGTACAGTAGCTTGCTGCAAAGTGCGAAGCCCGCCACGAACAGGCTTCGGCAATGCTACTTGGAATGCCTTGTGTTAGCTTGCCGCATCTTGCCGCAATGCAGCACCCCATGAGGCTCCCGACACTCCTGGAGTGTCGTGTTAGCTTGCCACAATGCTCCCCAGCGCGCATGCTTCTGGACACATTTTCATCTAGGTTGCCGCAACACAGGACGCGGCTCGATGCTCCTCATCATGCTCCTGGATGCGTCATGGATGCGCCGCGGGTGGAGTTTCCTGTTGGATCTGTTGGCTTACAGCCATTCGGGACTCCTGGACACGTCGACGCGTCGCATGTGGAGTTTCCCATGCGCTTGGGCTTCCTGGATCCAGCCGAACTTCAGGATAGGCCAGAGCCGCCCCCAAGAAGGTTGCTTCTTGTTGCACGCCCCCAGGCCTTGTCAGGGCCTGAGAGTCCAGTGCCTGACGAAATTACACGCTTCTTGCCTTCACATCGTCCTTGCATTCCTTGACCATCGCCGGAAAGAGGACAGCAAGAGGGGCTTCAAATTCAGCTGAAGCTGATTAATCAGATCTTGCAAGGCTTGATGGCTTGGGGGGGCGTGGGTTCTGGTTCAAGATCTCATAAATCTAATACGGACTTAAAGTGAGGAACCCAGAGGTAAACGGCAATTAGAAAACACATGACCGAACTGAACCGAAAGATACAAACAACCGACTCGAACCAAAGAAAACAGATGTAAGTTTCCCTAAATTACTGTTCCCAAAATATAGGGCCCCGTAATAGGAACCCAAATATAGGACCCCGTATTATGGGGCATTTAGACCAATCCCCAGATAGACGAAAACGGCCCGAACTGAACCGAACCTGCCTGATCCTGTGAAGGAGCGCAGCGGGGTCGAGCTGTCCAGTCTCCACATCTTCAGGTCGGAAGCTAAGCTTCCACTGATCATTCGATGGTTCTTCCAATCAACTTCAACACACCTGTGGCTTCATTTCTTCAGCATAGAAGAGCCTCTTGCAGACGGCGTACGAACTAGTGAAATCAAAACAAAAACACTTCTAAAACAGCCTGCCCAAGCTACAGCACCTCTGATGGGTGTCCTGCGTACGTTCGGAGTACGTTGCCATAGAAGTTCCACATCTTCAGCGTGTGGTCAGCAGATGCAGTCACCACGTTCCTTCACAGATCTATTAATCGACATGCTTTGAGTCAATACGGGCAACTACGGGGCAGTACTATGCACTAGTCGTCTCTTAAAACTGGGCCTTGAGGTCCAATCAACTGCGAAGCAGTTGAGGTTGAGCTTGTGAGGATCCTGACCAGCAAAGGATCATTCTAGCAAAGCCTTATGGCATCTGTGTTATTTGTCCTTCACTTTCTCCAAATGCTTGATATCCTCAGCGGCGGATCAAGTACAAAAGACAGCTGCGGCTCTGTGCCAGTAAGAGCGCAGCATCTTCAACGTTCGTATACCCTTGGCTTTCAGACAGTCGGTAAGTGAGCCAGGAAAAGCACAGGAGAAGCTGACACTGCCCAGCTGTTCGGCATGTCTGGACAGTATTGCTTCGTGCACGCAAGAGTCTCTGGTTGTGTGGCGTCCTGACTCCCATGGCCTCCAGCGTGCCGCCACTCTTGTCAAACTGTTTGATCTCACCTGCTACGCGCGACAAAGCGGTAAGGATCACTAGAATGCAACTCAATATTGTGCAAGCGCCTGTGTAGGTGACTGCCATGACGGCATCAAAAGGAATCGAGGCCACAGCCGCAGCTTCTGACTGGCTTCTTTCCAGTGCGGCTTGGAGGTCCGGCACCAGGGACGCTTGCTTCTTTTTGGCCAACGTCTTCCTCCCGCCCTGCGTCCACGCAACAAATTCGTTGTAATCGATGGCACCTGAACAAAGGTTCCCATGCAATCATGTATACTATAGCGAAGAAGCTGAAATCTCCAAACCCCTCTATGAAGTCTAGGGACCGAATGTCAGCCACTTTGCGAGGATAACAGGATATGCAAACATGTCCATGCACTATGCACTTTTTTGCGCTGCGCAAGCTTCAATCTTCGCATCTCTTCAACCTCTCCCGTTCCCTGAATGGCAGAGTGAAGCTTCAGAGGTATGAAGACAAAGCCGCAATGCGAGGACGGTCTGCGACGCAAAGCAGCAGATGAGGAATGCTTACAGAAAATTGAAAGCGGGCTTTCTCTGAGAGACTCTCAACCAAACCATTACGTGCTGTGCTGGCCGTTATGAGAACGATGCAAAAGAAGACGATCTTGTCAGACTGAGTAACACCGTCGGAACCAATTGCTTCGTTTTCCAGCAGGAGATCTTGCTAAGCATGCCCAGGCACCGTCATTGTTGGTGTCGACTTCACGCAGGATTTGTCCGATTTCAGCAACAGTAATGTCTTTGTTGATCCAGGTCAGAACATTCTGCAGTTCAGACGCCGATATCCTGCGATTACCCGAGGTTGCCACAAGGCCACAAGCAATATGCACGCAAGTTACCGTGGTCCGACCTTCCATTGCCGTCCTTGTCAAACCTCTTGAAAAGCTCCTGCGAAGCAGTCTCGGGAAGAGCAGGTATTGGTCGCAGGCTCCGAGACATTCGTTTCAGGAATGTCTGCAACCTTCTGCCGCGATACATCACCAACTTTCTAGTCTCGTCCTGGATTTGTGCTGCCGACATTGCCACCAATGCCGAGGTGTAAAATGACGAATAGGGTCACTTAGGTACTCTATGTGGAGATACGTTTTTCAGGCTTGCATGTTGGACAGAAAGTAAGGCCAAACGGCTGAAATTCTGCACCTGGTCTCGCAGTGCCATTTAAGACTTTTCGGCTTCTTGTGAGCCATACAGACTTCCGAACGGCAAGCCGCTAAGATGACAACTCCTGTAAAGCAAGCTTTGCTTGGGTCACTTGGGCTGCTGGCTGAGCTGCGTTGATGAAGAGTTGTTGAAGCGCATCTTTATTCCGCAGCGTGGGTCTCTGCTGCGCATCTAGCTGGATTCAGTCGTCCTCTCCGTCGTCCTCTTCCTCCTGGAGGGGAGCGGTGCCTGCCTGTTTTTTGTGCCGGCACATCTCTTGCAAGGATCTGCGGGCATGCCACATATACGAGTGCTATTGATCATGGTTAGGAAGACAGCCGTCCTCATCTTCCGAATCGTCCCCTCCTTCGGCAATGACTAAAACATCAATGTAATTGCGATGCACGGCGCACGAATGTTTATGATTTGTCGACAAGCATGCCATTCTGAAGGTCCTGGGTGCTGGCTGGCCGTAAAACTTACAGGCAAGCCCAAAGCTGCCATCTGCTTCATCTCTTCGGACAATTCTTCCTGGTCACAGCTTTGATGCTACATTCGTCATCAATACATGCCAAGATGGGGTCTTCCGAGGGCACCTGCGGCTGAGCTTTCTTCGCACCAGCTGCCTGCGACGCAGCGTTCATGGTGCAGGCAGTGATCCAACAAACCAAGTTCGACCGAACACTTGCAAATATCTTGCCACACCTCCTTCACGTCATCCTCATCATCGTCATCACTGTCGCTATCGTCTGGCAGCGGTTTGCGGACCTGAGGAGCCTGGTCAACGAGATCAGGATCTCACATTCAGTTTTGTCAAGTACATGGCCTTGGCGGCTTTGCCACCCTTCCCTGACTTACCTTTGCAGGGCGTGCGGAACAAAAAGCTTGCAAGACTGAGGTTGCTTTGCACAGGCTGGCAGGCCCATGAGACGCGAACCTTCAGTGGATGTGGGGCCTTTGCGACCTTCACCCTTGCTTTTCGAACCACCCTTACCTTACAAGACACAAGCACACATTGGCACAATCAATCCATTCAAAGAAGAATATCTGCCTTTGCAGAATGACGGCAGGAACTCATGTTGCAAGACCGGCAAAAGTCTGTGCAAGTTTGCCTGAGCAAGTTTACTCATATTTCTGGCATGACGCAGCAGTGCTGTTGATGTTGATGATGATTATGATGATCATGGTGGTGATGATGGTGGTGATGACGGTCGTCATCATCATCATCATCCTCATCATCATCATCATCCTCATCATCATCCTCATCATCATCATGCTGTGGGTGAGTGGCAGCGGGGATGATGGCAGCAATCCTTTTGGAGTCGGCACACAGCCAGCTGTGCTCGTGAAAGCTCTGCCCTTGTGACAGATTCCTTGAGAAGACTACGTTGATGGCCAATGTGATCAGATGCAGCTCACCCTTGAGAACTGTTGCCTTCAGATCCTGATCAGCAACAGCACTATCCAACAGCATCTGCGGCGATCCTCAGAAACGATGTTTGCCTCGTCTCCCATTGCTCCGCAGTCATCCGCAGCGTGCAGCAGAGCTTGGCTGTATAGCCTGGCGCTTCACTGAGACACTAACGCTTGCTTTCTTCAGCTCGACCTCCGCACTCCACCTCCAACGAGAAGCAGCTGAACGCGTCTCCACGAACCTCAGGTGCTTTCACTCGTCAAAAACACCACCTTTCAGTTGCCAACTTCCAGCATTTTCTGAGAAATCAGCAAGTCAATCATGAAACTGCATCTTGCTCAGAGTAGACAAGGTCGCTGTAGTAGCACGTATGCTTCTGCACCACAGCTGAGCCGCACTTATGTCATCATGCGATACTCTGTAGCTACCAAAAGTTATGAACAACTGGAATCGACAGGTGAATCAAAGTTTCGTGCGAGCTGTGGTAGGGTAGTTACCAACAGCCTTCCACGGAAAGCGGTCGCGGCATTTGTTCACATTGCCGTTTAAGTCCTCAAACACCTGGCGAAAACAGCATTGACCCACCGCCAACTACTTTGGCCTGACGGTGCCCAGCAGACCAAGCGTGGTAGCCAACTTGGGGCCAGAACCTCGGGGGGCTTGGAAAGCAATGTGACTTCTCTGCAAGATTCGGCATCAAACAGAAATGTGCCTGTGGAGACAATGGATGAGTACGGTGTATAGTTTTTTCGCCAGTTCTTATGCATTCCACGGGCTGAAAGGAAGCTGATGCTTGTGCCGCACCATCCTGGCAATCCATCTGCCAGTTCATCCATATATAGACTGTCCACCTATTGGTTTTCTCGTGACATTGAGCTCGCTCCATAATCCATGGCACCAGTGAGGATTGCAAGTATCTTTAGGTTGGAATCACTCATCTCATTTGCTGGGCTCGTTGCAGCTTCAGCTCGGGGATATAGGAAGAAAGGCGTTGAGATGCGATGCTGGCGTGATGAAAGAGACCATTGCAACATCTGAAGCCCGAGCAACATTAACCAGCCTGAAGCGACGCTGCAGCCGAGCCTGCACACCGCATGATGTCTCGAAGTCTTGAACCCGTTGCAACCAAATCAAGCCAGAGATAGTGAATTGCTGGCAGTGCCGGATTGTGCAACACCTTCAAGTGATGCTGAAAGCTCAGGTTCGTACCAGCTCTGCAAACCGCAGGCCTCCAAAGACTTTTGATGCTTCATGTGCACTCACTCGGTGCAGGTGCATTTTGCCGTGTCAATAGCAATGAGCTTTGCCCCAGCATGCCAGCCGCTGCCGTACATGTCGATCTCAGAAGACAGTGGCTGCAACCAGCTGCTAGTGATGCTAGTGACTGCTAGTGCCCCTCAAGCGAGGGGCGTATCATGCATCGATTGATACTGTGATGCCCCGAGGTGTAGGTTTGGAGGATTCAGGCCTACTTAGAGCCGCTTCATTGACTACGCTGGTACAGATTTGTAGTGCCGGCCAGAAGCAAACAACCTACAAGTATGAGGTGTGCTTTGGAGCGTGTGATTTATTCCGGGCCTGTGCATTAGAGCCGGGTAACGGTGGCCAGAGGCGTAATCCTTGTGCAGCCAGCAGGCTTGCAAGAACATGTTGCTGATTGATGCTTGGCCGGGCACAAGCGGGTCGCCCACGAAAAGCAAAGCTTCCCCGCTATTCAAAGCATCCTGACAGCGTATGACAGTGTGAAGGGCACAGAAAACAATTCGATTGCTCAAAGCGCTTGCAGGAGCCTCGATGTTAAACCATTCTCCAGTCTGTAGATCCTTCACCTGCCACTGGACCAACAAGACTTGCTGTCTCACGCATCACAACCAACGAATTCCGAACCTCCAACCCAGCTGCGGTGCTTTTCGGTGCAACGGTGACCAAAGAGGAGTCAGTGTGAGCAGGATACCTTACTGTTTTCTGCGCTGAGACCTTCCTCGCAGGGACAATAGCTCCGATCCAGGCACCAGGCATTCCTGGAGCCTCAAGACGGAGTAGACGAAGATTTTCCTGTCGTGAGACTATATAGTTGGCTTCCGCGACTTCAGCTCCAGCATCAAAAATAACATCAAATTGGTGCCAGGCAGGCTTTGCCGACAAGAATTGTTTTGGCACATCTTGCGCTGAGAACTGCCTGCAGCAACAATGCTTGTGCCAGTTGCACAAAGCTAAGCTGGACAAGATCAGGCAACACAAAATGTTGGGCTGTACTTCCAGCATGACATTTGTTCATTATGCTTGGCTCTGTTCAGAGTCGTAACTGCCAGCGTCAGACCTCATCCCGATGCAGCATAAGCTCAATAACAAGATCTTCACGTGTCCAAGAGAGGGTTTTCCACCTGGCCAAATGCTACGGGTAGCCTTCCTCACCGTTGTTCAGCATTAGAAGCTTGCTGTATTTCAGGCAAACCCGTTCAGGATGACCTGCCTTTTGCTTCCTTCCATTCTCTTCCAACAATATCCACTGAGGATAGCAGTCCTGCACACCCTGCTTCGTCCCTCATTTTGTCCGCAAATACTATAATTGATCTGCCGGCTATCACTTGAGTTATGAGTTTGCTTACGTGCAAACTGTGGAGCGCTGGATAGAAGCGGCCTCTGGTGCCTTGGCTAAGGACACTTCAAGGCCGTCGCCCTTCACGTTTGACACAACGCCCTGCATGCTCGAGATTGAAACAAGCAAAGGATTCAGCTTTCCTGCCTTGAATCCATTCAAGACCGCATCGCTCCCCTTCAAGTTTATCAGCCGCACCTCTCAAAGTGGCACTTCCAACAGCCTAGTTTCGTGGTAGCAGCTCATGCACTGAATCAGTAGTATATAAGGTCCAGCAGGATCACACGCGCGGAGCATCAGATACACGTCCCAACCTCCGATCCATTCGCTATGGCTTGGCTTGCGGCCTCGGTTTCCCAGGCCCATCCTCTCGTACAGAATGCCAACAGTTCCGAGCCCTACGGGCCCCAGGCCGGGGGTAGGTCTGAAGCACCTCGACTCTCAAGAGGGCGATCATAGTGAATGCACCTGAGCTAGGCGTAGCATGACATGCGCCGTGGAAAATCCGAACCCTACCTACATGACCTACGTAGGCCCTCAATGCTATCAGCATGCGCAACAAATCTGACACCACCTGTTCTAGCAACTCAGACGATGGCATTGGCAAAATGTGTCGTGCGCACTATGCGACAAAGGCGCCGCATGGTCGATGAGGTGTCGCTCGGCATCGCCGCTAGATCAATGCCCGAGTCGCAACCAATCTGGCCAACCCAATGCCACAAAAATGGGGGCAAGGTCAACTTGCCACCAATTGCAGGTGGAGGATGTGACAAGCTACGAAACGTTTGATATACACATAATTACAAGCGAGAAATCAAATTGAAGAGGATGTGCCCCACAGAAGCAACTTTCCTTCACCGCCCTCCAAACGTTGTTTTCATATTAGATTTGTTGATATCCTGTAAAGTGATAGCGATGATGCATACGGTTCAGATTGCCAAGTTCACGGAAGGGAAACTAGCCTTCTCCAACAATCTGACATCAAAAGGCTTGGGGTCTGTGCGTGGCATATGGTGTGACAATTACATGGAATGAAGCGGCTGCATGTCTGGGATCGTTGGAATGAAACTGCGCAGTAACCGCAACGTCAAGCAGCTTCTGAAAGCATGGCAATGTCACAATTGTCAAAAGACTTACAGCATGCATACTGCATCTTCTCTACACGACCAATTTCAGTGCAGCTCCAACTCATGAAACGAAAGCTAGCGAGTCATGGGTCCGATTTGAATTCCATGACCCATACAGTGCGGATCAGAGTATGGGTTGAGCATCCTGGTCCAACTCCATTCCATATCAACTTCAAATCATCCATATCATCCACGCAACGCAGCACTTGATTGGTTCCTGTGCCTCGGCAGAAAACCGAAGCGCAACCTTCTCGAGAAGTGCAAAGGCATCCATGGCCTCTCAGCAAGGACGAGGCAGAGCGCAATCCAAGCTCTAGATTCATAAAACTCCCTAGATTTCAAGAAATTTATCGGGGCCGAAAATGGGGTTCAAAGACTAGTTTAGAGGCAGAGGCACTTTTTGGGCCTTAAAATTATCCCCAAACCCTAATTTAAAAATATGGGACCAAATTCATTTTGCGTTCTAGAACTTTAAACTTACACCTCCAAACCTGCTCTGTGGTTTTAGCAAAGTAGTAGTAGGGACCTACTAACTCTAGACTTCAGAGGGGGCCCTGCAAACAGGATTTGCTTATGAAACTTTATCAGGAATTTCACGGTCAAACATTGCTTCCTGAGCTACCCCTTGCGGGTGCTGCTGCATGGATTAATAGAGAACCACCCCGGAATAATAGAAACTTTCCTGACCATTTTAGTCAGATTTAAATGGAATCTTAATTAGATCTATATTGATCTTAATTGGAGTCCAATCAGATTTGAGGCTGCAATACTTACGGCATGCAAAAATTCAAAGAGCAAAGAGGGTCCCGCAAACAGGACTTGCTTAGTTAACTTTATCAGGAATTTCACGGCCAAACATTGTTTCCTGAGCTACCCCTTACGGGTGCTGCTGCGTGGATTAATAGAACACCACCCCAGACTAATAGAAAATGTCCTGACCATATTTTACTCAGACTTCAATTCATCTTACTTAAATTTATATTGATTTTAATTGGAGTTCAAGAAGATTTCAAAGGATTTTAGTTAGATTCATATTGATTCTTCTTGGAGTTCAAGAAGATTTCAATGGATTCGAATTAGATTTAATATTGATTTCAATTGGAGTCCAATCAGATTTCGATGGATTTTAATTAGATGTATTTTGATTTTAATTGGATCGGAGCCGTGTCAGATTTCAATCAATTTTCATTTAGATTTATATTGACCTTTCTTGGAGTTCAATAAGATTCTGATGGATTTCAATCGGATTTATATTCACTGTATGTGGCGGTTCCGTGGGCGTTATTTACAATTGAAATCTCCTTCTGGCATCTGGGGCCCCTGAAATATTAAGGCCCTTCTATTAATAGAGGGGGGGGGGGGCGGGGCGCCCTTATTAATCAAGAGCGCGGATTAATTCTGCTGAGACGCTAAACGAAATGAGTGGTAGTGTTGGTGGTGGCGGTGGCGGTGGCGGTGGTGGTGGTGGGGGCGGCGGCGGCGGTGGTGTGGGCGGCGGCGGTGTTTGTGGTGGTTGTGGGCGCTGCAGCTAGTAGCGGCTGTGCTAGTAGCGGCCGGGCTGGGGGGGTATGGTTGTTGCGGATGTTGGCCGCGTCGCTGTGAATCCCTTCAAGAGCGGCAGTGGGAGTGCCATCTCCTCGGCGTAAGATTGTTGTTCCATGTTGTTCCTGGGATGACTTTAACTTAAGGCACCTCTGCTACACATCTGCTTGAGAACAGCGACAGCCAGCATTTCACATGTAGGATTATCTGATCCAATAAAGCGTGAAGATCTTTGCAACATCCTGCGGCGCGCTCTACCCGTCAATATCTGTGTTCCCTTACGGCATGCATGATGTTGCAACTGGATCAGGATTGCAAAGCCCTTCCCGAAACGAGCAAATTACACAAGTGTATTCAAAAGACATTTTTTCTATGTACAGCCATATGACAGGCAATTCTCAATGCATTTGGCACATAGATACTTAGACCCTGATAGGAAAAACAATTTCGCGAGGGCCGAGGTTTGATGACACGCGCTTAGTTTGGAGTGCGGTGTTTAGGATTCTGCTTTCTGGTGGTTTGGGATTTCAGCGCGGTAGGGGTCCCTCCAAAATCGGCAACCTTACGGATGTATGACAGGTGGATGTATTGCAGGCTTCCAGCATATGTCTTTTGGCGAATCTTCCCTGATAACAGTCCTGACATTGGAGTTGCGGCTATCTCAATTGCATGGCGTATCACACATGATCTCGCGACCTGGGTCGAACTGCAATCACGGTTAGTGCTGCTCAGGTCACCGCAGGTTTTATAGCAGCGTCTGCCGTTGAGCGCGCTGACATTGCTAGCACACGTTTTTCTGACTGATCATCAGGCTACAGTGTCAGGTTTAGAAGGTACCACAGCTCCAGTGGCTAAGTTTTTACTACGAACTTTGTGCCGTTCTCAGGCGGCAGTTCTTTCCCTGCTCACAGAGGTGCTTGGCATCTCCCAGTATCAGAATTCTGGCAACTGAACAAGCTCGGAGGTGAGGCGGTGGTTTCTCGCTTTCTGGAGGCTTAGCTTGTACATGGGCATGGTCCACGGCTCACCAGGCACTACTAGATGGACGTGTTCGATGACCTCTTCCGGAAATTCCGTTGAAGATAATTTCGGTGAATGAGTAAGAGAAGGATGGTGAAGTGAAGACGTGAGTTCTTGCTTATTTGCCTTACCCAAAATTCGCAGTCTTCGCTGATAACAAATGTTTGGCTCTGAGAGATGGAAGGGAGACTGATTTCGCATCAAGGCGAATTCTGTCCAAGAGACAGGTGAGATCAAAGAAGGAAGCTGATGTAGTCCCGCTTAGATGGTGTTCTTTGCAGGATTCTTATTCAGGCTCCATGTGAATTTTGGAGAGAGTAAGGGGTTAGGTCGCACTTCAAGGCATCCATGGTTCCTGAGCGAGACGGTGTATTCTGGGCAAGTTGTGACGAATTCCAACAAGCTCGGCCGGAATTCAAGCTTAGTGTTTGTTATATCATTGATTGGCACAGCAAAGTTGCGAGTTCTTGGATCATGCAGGGTTGCCGTCATGAACAGGCACTAGCATAGGAAAGGACTCCCCAGGCAAGAAAGTGACATTGCCAGTTGGCCCTGCACCGTAATTTTTAGCCCTGAAAAACCTGGAACCCCTTTCCCCCGAAGCCCTAACCCTTCACCCCAGCGTTTGCCAGTACAATCAAGGCTGGAGAGCAGGGGCTCGGGGGACTCGGGATTCACTGCTACTACGCGTATCATGACTATTCATGAAATCATTCTGCAGGAAACTCACCGGAGGAAAGATGTGAGGGGTAGCAGGTCTGGATGCCACAAGATGACGGGTGAATCATCAGAATGCTGGCCATTGCGGGACCCAATGCTGATACTCGGAGCAAAGGCCGATTTTCCTGAATGGCAAGACCAAATATGAGTGACTACATAAATTCAATGTGGTCTAAACTCATTTCACATTAATTTCTGACAAGCGCAATTTTAGAGGTATTGGTCTCTGAGGCTGCCAGAGGCCGTGGGAAGTGAAGATCACCTCCTGATAAGAATTCTTACCTTACTAGCCCTTTGTGAGTATTTACAGCCGAGAAGAAATCATCAAGGCCCTTGCATAGCCGCTTGAGTGGCTTGGAAGACTGATTAATTAATAATGGAGTCGGCACAGCTAGTGCCCTTTTGGATCGTTAAATCTTTAATAGCAGGGTTGACAAGCAGTGGAAGATTCTGCAAGGCGCTCCCCCGTCCGAGTTTGGAGGGTGTCGTTGACGAGTTCAGGATGACAGAAAGCAAAGTTGCCATGCGTGTGAACAATGCAATGGGCGATCAAACAGAACCGCCCCCAACATGAAGCCAACATAGAGAGCTTAAATTAGCTCACCACACCCCATGCAGAATGCTCCACAAATTTCTTGGCAAACTGTCTGCAGCATTTTCGGCTGGGATCCATCTCAGTCTTGCGGTGCTGCAATTGCAGTTTTCAGCAAGGATGCCAGCTGATCGACCTCAACGTCACCAGGAAAGCTGTTTCGGAATACTGCGTGGCTCCCAGCTTGCTGAGATCGGTACTGCCCGGTCAGTGCTCGCTGCACTAGCAGTTTTCAACCAAGAGTTGAGGATTGATACCTGAAAGAGCAAAGTCGCAAAGAAGCAGTGAAGTTGGCGGACATACATGTATTCCAGTTCTCTAGCAATGCCCGTTGAGGTGCATCTGTTGCGGGCTCCTGCCAGCATGGCGCGCAGTTGACGAGATATCATGTTGGCATTCCAGCAAGAGCGAAGCTGAAAGCTCGGACCTGCTTAATCTGCTGCAAGCTCGCACGCAGGGCTTTTGCTTGAGGCACCTGGCAGGTCATTCATGACGGAATTGTCATGGACACACATGCCTGCGACCAGCAATAGCTGCGGCTACATGGCAAACATAGCATGACACAGCTGAAGATTTGCAAAGAGGCATTGGGTCTCGATATCCAGGAGCCGGCTGCCGGTACTTGCGATGCAGAGATGTCGGCATCCTGCAGCAGTCCGGAGTCCAAGAGATGAGGATGCGGTGTGCAGACTCCTCATTCTTTGCGAGGGCATCCACGTTGATGCTGCAGCTGGAGCCTTGCCAGCCGGCCTCGCAGTCGCACATGCCAGCCTGGCAGCAGCAAATCTGGTTTAATTTAGCCCGGCCCTCAGAACTGTGGTCTTATGGGCGCGCCACTTAAATATCCGTCGAGGCCGGAGAGTAAGTTAACCCACCCTACCCCAGTGTGCACGATTTCGGGGGTGGGGGCGCAATCAAGTTTCTACGGTGGGTAGGGGGTGTCCGGGCGGTGCCCACTGTTCTCCCTAAGCCGGCGCGAACGCGATTCGGGACGAAATGCGTGGTGGGAGGGGCAAGGGGGGGGGGCTGGGGGAGGCAAAAGGCTGGTTTGGCCGAGCCCAAAACAGCTGAGGTGCTGGCTGCCCTTGCTCTGTGCTCTCACGATCTTGCGTTAGCGGTGAAATTATGGATTTTTCCCATAAGGGCTGCTGCAGGAGTTAACCGCTGCCGCAAAGCCTCTTGATTTCCCATAGGGCGGCTGTTTGCGCTATCCCCTGAGATTGTATCTTTTGTTTCATTACCTTTTGGTATCTTGTCTTGTACATTACAGCCACCTGCTTGGGAACTGGCCGCATGGCTTGGTGTTCAGTAGAGCTAAGCGCGGTTGCACTGTGTGCGAGAGGTTTGCTCTCCGCCTGCCAAAACGGTGGTATCTTAAGCTAGAAGTCCCCTGCGACCCCGCTGGAACAACTGCGATCTTCTTCACCATCAGAAACCAGCAAGAAAAGTAGCCTTATGGGACATGCTTCTCGTGAAGGACAGACATATGCACAAGAATAGTCATCGCAACCCTGACCTCATCACCTGGGCCTGTTGCATGCACGAGAGCATCCCACCATATCCCGCCTGACATTTGCCATGGCCACTACAGCCACCAGCGCATGCAAGCTCTTCATCTTCCCTTGTCACCTGGCAGACTGGCCGTCCCATGTAACGCTGCTTCGCCGGTGCTCTCAATCCCATCCTAAAAGAGCCTTTCCTTCTCTACTGTAGGGCATTCCTGGAACTACGGCTGCGTGGTTACTCTACTTATTAGGCCGCCACTTCTCAAGCCAATGCAGCAGTACAACATGGTTTTACAGAAGAAGCATCACCGTCTCGCTTTTGTTTAGCAGTGCCACATGTCCTGCGAAGTTTCGCAAGCTGGTCACAGTTGAAGGATGCCGCTTGGCCACGAGAACGAGTGTATCCGATTCTCGGAGGAGGGTTGAGCGTTCCTCTGAAGTTGAGGAGCAGATCCTAAAGGATCCTGGCTTCTATGTGCAGTACGTATCGGGGAGCAGGTCTGGCGAAACAGCTATCTGTTTCAGTGATGGCGGCCGCTACGAAGCTTCGCACGGTATGCATGTCATGATCAATGATCATACTTTAGTATGAAGAAGAGTGTAGAAGGTCTGAAAGATAGATACTCAAAGTGATCTTAACAGTAACGATTGCAGCCGCACTTCCCACCCTTTTCCATCTGTTCAACAATTTTCGTTATTTGTCCTTTTTTGCCTCACTTTATTCCTCGCAGTAGCAACAAGAACAAAATGACAAGAACAAGAAACTGGTCTGGAGATGGTACTGTAAAAACGTCACAATGACGGAGAGATATATTCTGTGGGTAATCATCACTGTTGTTGATGTTGTTGCTTCTGTGGTCACTCGTGTTCCCACATGTGAACGCGCACGAGCCTGCTGCAACTGCAGCTGCAGCGGCTTTACTGCCACAGAGACCATCAGCTCGCATGCCTGAAGTTTGCAAGGTCACGCGCACTGCCCGAGACCGAGTCACCATGGGGCATGCCTCTCCACGAAAACCTTGCTGGCACTTGCATTGTCCGAGCCTCATGGAGAAGCGGTGCCCACACTCAACATACTCAACTCTTCCCGAATTGCTCTGGTTGAGGCACAGGCTCACACACACCTTTGCCAGAGCAGGTCGGGTCTGCGCATGTTTTTCGCGCGGCCTGACAATGAAACAGAATCGGAGTGCTTCATGGACCTGGCGAGTAGTGACTTTTGCTTAACAACAGGGCTTGCCTTTGGTTGATCCCATTAAAGTGATCCAGTGCTGTGGCTAAGGTTTTCTGGTCAGAGGCTGCCATCATAGATTAGCCAGCACTCGATAGGCACCTTCGGCAGCTGATCCGCCGAATGCGGCGGACTTGATGCTTTCTTCGATTGTTTTTCTTGACAGTTGATAAGCTCGGGGTGGACAAGTGTCCAAGTGTCTACCTTGGACAATCAAAGCAAAGGCTTCCTGGCCCTGCAACACTTATGAGATTGACCTGCATTCGCTGAAGGCAGAATGTACAGTCGCCGGCCTGGGAGAGGCTCAAACCTGGCGCAACTTCAAGGTAGTCCTGGTGGGATGCTGACTCCAAGCTAGCTGCGAGCTGTAGAAGCATGTTACAATGTTGGCAGAGCCGCGAATGCTGACATGTCCTGACATGCTGGCCCTGTCCATCCATCACGGCAAATGCAGGTGCCATCATGGCAATCTCCGTGGCTGTCGCAGTTCAGCGGACAAGCCTTCACTCCAGAATATGCAACTGGCTGCTGCAGGTTCCAAGAGCATTCTCTGGCGAGCACCTTCTTCTTCTGCTGGACCTCACTCTGCTTAGCTAGCTCCTCCTTCTCAGCAGCCAGACCTGCAAATCGTTCACAGTCAAATTGCCACGGCATCTGCAGAGTCGCGCACCTCGGCTAAGAATTGAAGCCAGCGAGAACTGCTTCTGCAAAAGTTGCGAGCAGTCCTGTCACAAATGGCAGAACAGCAGAGACATGTGAAATCTGATAATCCGACAGATTCTGTAAGGAGCTGAACCAGCGCACTCCTCTCCACCAAACTTCTCGGAGCACACACAACGGCCTGACAGTTCGCTTGAAGCATTCAGCTGACCAACATCAAGCTTCACTTGACCTTCCATGTTGGCATCTGGCCTACATGGCATTGACCGTTTCCGCTGCAATCATTTAGGCACCGCTTGTGCTCACCTCGTGGGGAAAGGTCACAATATGTCACAATGTTTACCAGCACGGAACTCAGGCTGGCAAAATCTTGCAGACATATCCGTATTCAAGCAGGGCACAAGATTGGCCGTAGAACCCTTGCCGGCAGAGACATTTGCCAGCCAAGCAAATGCCCTGACTGCTACAGTCCGAGCTGCAGCTGCGGGTGCCAGCCTGCGCGTTTGCAAATTCCAGGAAGGCCCTAAATTTGGACGCAGTCGCTTCCCACAACTCTATGCTTCTGTGACCTGTGCCGTGGATGATGCCTGCGTTGGCAGGAAAATTCCAAAAATTGTTCACTCGTGCAAGGCAATTGTTAGTGATGTGTGATGCGCCTGCAGTCCACCAAACTCGTGACCTGGAATCGCCTCCTGCGCCATCGTTTACATGCAGGCTCGTGTTGCTGATTCCGTGCCTCGACTCTCAGGCTCCTTCTTGCTGCGGGCCTTTCCAACTGCACGTTCAAGCCTTTCAACGGCATCACGCTCGTTCTCGATCTTTGCTGCCGCAAAGAGCCTGCAGCTCAACACAGTCAGAGGAATGTGAACTGCCACGTTATTGTTACTGAGGCTCAGACTTGTCAGCCGTTGCCCACGCGCTCTCTGCTGCTCGTCTTGACTGTGCAAAATTTCGGACTGCTGTGCTGGTAAGATCTGCCCCAACACGTCCACCTTTTGTGCCAAGCACCAATTCTGCAGAGTCCAAGGGGTCTGCTTCTGTGGTGGGCGCAGCCAAGTTCTTGTCGGAAACTTCAGTGTCCAGGGAGAGCTGGAAGCTGCAGTCGCGTCCGGCCCAACTTCCTTCACAAATACATGTTCCCAAAAGGCCGCAGGATCCGTGACCAGAGCAGCCATTTCGGCATATTGCAGCCTGTGCAGGAAGGGTTAGTAGCACAGCCACCAGTGCCAGCATGACCCGACTTGCAGCTCTCGTTGTTGGTATGCTAACGGGAGCCACAGCCGGAGTCTCGAAAGAGCACCGCAAAGGATGCCCGGCTTCCTAGTACGCTAACGGTGAGAAATGGCTTGAGGAACGAGCCATACGGCTGTCTGCGGCATGCATCCAAGCAGAAGAAAAGACGCCTCACAAGCGAACCTAAATCATTGTCAAGAATTCCGAGCATGGAACTTACCCAGCACGAGCCCCGTGGCACAAAAACAAACAAATTTGCACCAGCCGTAGGTAGGCCTGGCGAAACTCTGTTGGACAGCTCGGCAGACCACGACGAAGCTCAAACACCTTCCAAATGATGCTAACCGGTACAGTCGGCAAACTCTGACGGTACAGTATGTACAGTATGTCGCAAGCTTTGGGTGGCCTCGTACGTGCCAGGGAACGGAGTCAAGTAGCCACCAGGAATGGGGAAGCATTTGAAGCCCTCCTTGGTATGCGTGCCGATGCAGACAAATTCTCTCGGAGGCGTGACTCAGATGTCCTTGTACCTGGAAGGGTTGCCGAAGAACTCGCGGCTACACCGGTACAGCGCGTTCAGGCGTGCCTGCTCCTGAGGCAGTTATTGGGTTCAGCAAATTCGGGCTCTTGCATCGTGGTCCTCGGCACTGAACTGAACGATGGCAAACCTGTTGCACTGCACTTGTCTGACACTTACTGAAATTGGATGAAATTGGTAATTATCTCTGTCTGACTGGTGTTGATGCACGGGTGCGATTCGCATGTCAAGCAATGTTGGACCCTGTTTATTGTTGAGGTCCCCTATAATGTGTTTTGAGGCTGGTCTATTCAGGACGTGGGATATGATTTGAGGTCCCCTATAATGTGTTTTGATTTTCAGAACACGTCGCACTACAGGCCCCAGTTTTTGAGTTTTCTGTTTGAGGCCACTTTTGGGGTTTTTGGTGTCTTTCCTAAGTAGATACGTAGATACGTAGGAGCTTCCCTTTGTAGCTGCTGGCCACTCAGACCTAGAACAAGGCTCCTCACACGGGCCGCTGTATGTACAGACCTGGGGGGGGGGCAACAGAAAAACAAA